ATTATCTTCTGTGTCTGTGTTAATTGGTTTCCCTTTTCTTTGTTGAAGAGTGTCTGTGCAATCCTTCTGCCTAGTCCGCCATCTTGCCCCACCTCTCCATAGGCTTTTCAATGGCTGATTTTTCACAGTAGATTGTTAGGAGCCTCTGGGTGGACTTGAAACTCCAAACTTTTGGTTACCGTTTGGGCTTGTAACCCTTTGCACCACCTAGAGACTCTAAACTCCCACTAAACCTCTCTAAACCTGCAAAGTGGGGGCATGCACGCAAACTGGGGGCATGCACAAGGACATCACCCTGTGACCCTAGAGTCCCAAATGTTTAATCTCAGAGTATTGTCATGTTCAGTAAGCACAGTTTCACAGACCAGGGGGAAAAAAAAAAACACTTTTTATTCAAGTCTCTGGTAAGTGACTTCTTTTTGTTTTGATCTTAGTTCTCTCACTCCACACACTACCTGGAGAATCTCATTTGCCTGTATTCACCTCTTCATATTCTCCACACTCAACTATTCACCTTTTTTTTTTTTTCCTTCTCTCTGTTCTCTTTTCACTTTGGGTTGAATTGTGTCCTTCAAAAAAATACGTTGATGTTCTAACTTTCCCATCTCCACTGATGAATATGACCTTACTTTGCAGAGCTAAACAAATTAAGATGAGTATTGCATTGGGCAAATCTACCGCAAAAGACATCTTTAAAGTGTTGAAGGGCAAAGATGTCTCTTTTAAGACTAAGGTGTGCCTAACCCTTAGTCATGGTGTTTTCAATAGCCTCATATGTATGTGAAAGCTGGACAATGAATAAGGAAGACCAAAGAAGAGTTGATGCTTTTGAGTTGTGGTGCTTGTGAAGAATACTGAAAATACCATGGACTGTCAGAAGAACTAACAAATCAGTCCTGGGAGAAGTGTAGCTGGAATGCTGCTTGGAAGAAAGAATGGCCAGACTCCATCTCACCTACTCTGGTCATGTTGTCAGAAGGACCATTCCCTGGAGAAGGATATCATGCTTGGTAAAGTGGAGGGTCAACGAAAAAGGGGAAGGCCCTCAACGAGATGGGTTGACACAGTGGCTGCAACAATGCGCTCAGGCACAGCAAGGATTGTGAGGCTGGCACAAGACCAGGCAGTGGTTCATTCTGTTGTGCATAGGGTTGCTGTAAGTCGGAGCCAACTAAATGGCACCTAGCAACAACAACAAATCCAGTTTGACCCATGTCCTTATAAAATGGGAAGAGACACAAACACAGACACAGAGGGAAAATGGCTGTGTGAGGACAGAGGCAGAGATTAGAGTGATGACCAAAGCCAAGGCATGCCTGGGGCTACCAGAATCCGGAAGAAGCAAGGAAGGATTCTCTTCTAGAGAGTTCAGAGTGGGCACACCTCTGCCAGAATCTTGGTTGGGAAGCTGTAGCCTCCAGAACTTTACGTAAGAGAATAAAGTTTTGTTGTGTTAAGCCACGCAATTGGTGATACTTTGACACCATAGCCCAAGGAAACCAATGAATGCTCTTAGCCCTTTGTTATATAGATATTCTTAGTTTCACTCATAAATCTCTTCCTACTTTTTCTAGACTTCTTCTTTTTCTATAAACAATAACGATAATAAAACTCGCCCAATCTACCTTATAAAATTATTGTTTGGAGCAAATAATATATTTTTGAAAAGGCTGTGTTGATTGTAAAGCTCATTCAGAAGTAACTAATATTATTGAACAGTTGTTACTAGAAACTGCACCAAAGGCTGAACTATATTATTTTTTAAAATCCTCAGTAGTCTTATAAAGTGAACACTTTTTTTTTCTTTAACCTTCAGTTTATGGCATAGCCCTAGTTCATAGAAGTTCAAGAAATATTAGTTTTCCCACCCCCCACCCCCAACACACACACACAGCCATTTTCTGGAAAAAATGGGAGACGGAGAAGTCATAATGAGAGAAATAATAATAAAGATGATGTTTTAAGGAACTGATGGTGTCTGCTTTATCTTTATGTGACACAGAGCATCTTTTACGTAGTAAGGCATCAGTAAATGTAGATTTTCACTGAATGAATGTTGCTTCCTGGGGCTCCTCTCTCCCCATATGGGATCCTGGCTCTCACCTCTGAAGTAGATGGTCACGCAAGGACTGGGTGGGGGGCTTTGGGGCGGGTCAATCTTGGCCGACTCCATGATAACCTGCAGCACCTCCATAACCTGCTTCCTCCACTTCTTTCCTCTGCGGAGTTAGATTCCTTCTTGGAGCTCCTTTGTCTAAGGTTTTCCCTGGGTTAACAGGGGTGCATGGAACCTAGAGTTTGCTGCTTAGCAACAAAAGAGCATGTCACAAAGATGGGTGGTTCTTAGTTCTGGAAAAGAATCAAAGAGGATGAGAGGAGGAAGAAGTAAGAGAGAATCTGAAGGAAGTGACTTGAGGTGACTAGGCCTGTTGAAACAAAACAAATTGGCTTGTTTTCATGTCCTCTTTCTTTTCTGCTTTCTGTATTACTCATCCTTCCAAATTAAGGATCAGGCATAAGGATGCTTTTTCTCTTTATAAAAGCAAGTTATCTGAAGTGAATCATTGCCAAAGTCACAGATTTAGATAAGAAATGAAGAGATGCAAGGCAATCTGAGAAAAGAAATAGGGAAATCAGGGACTATTTCAATAACGCTGCAGGGAAAGTCTTCCCTAATATGGATGCAAAACATTTTTGCTAAAGAAAATGATCAGATATGAATTTTTCTTTAACAAGAGCAAATTAACTTTTAAATTAATGAGATCTTATGAAGGTCAGATTTGTAAATTTAAAGAAAGATCTCAAAGGCAATACAATTTTGTGGTGACCCCTCCTTGGGTTCCTGAGGTAGTAACTCTATGGCAGTAGATTGCCCAATCTTCCTTCGCAGGAGTGGCTAGAGATGCTTCTTCGGAAACCCAAGGCAATGGTTATGCACTTAGCTGCTAATGAAGAGGTTGCCAGTTTGAATCCATTCAGCCACTCTGGGAGAAAGACCTGGCAACTTGCTCCCATAAACATTATAGTTTTTGTGTGCCTTTTAGTTGATTCCAACTCACACTGTTGTTTTTAGGTGCTATTGAGTTGGTTCTGAAACTAAGTAAAACTGTTTCCCCCACCCTGGCACCTGGATGAGAATAGAGAAGTAAACATAAGTAAACTAAATTACCCCCAACTATTTTCCCACCCTGGGCAGATGAGTATTCAGTTCCTTAAAGAACTGAATGGAAAACATTCCTTCCTGCAGATGATAGACTTGCTAAAAGCATTTTAGAAACAACTTGTAAATTAACTCTGGCCCACATGCACAAAAGGGCAGAAGGGAAGTATTTTAGAAACAACTTGTCAATTAGTTCTGGCCAGGGGACATGAGAATAGGACAAAAGGAACAAAAGTTAATTGGGACCCTCTCCCCTCTGCCAGAGCCCCTATCAGCTGATAACAGGAAACTAGTGTGACCCATCAGCCATTGTCACCCATTTCACAGTTCACACCCCAAATTCCTCAACCTTTTGTGAATATGCACAACTCCCTCTCCTGAAACCTACAAAAACTGGCATCTGGGGAGTTAAGATCTGGGTACTAAACTACCCCTAACTCCTTGCACTGCTGCTTTGCAATAAATAATTTTCTCTCCTCTCAATCTTGGTGTGTAAACTGTTTTGGCCTGACTGCGCACCAGGCAGGGACCCTTGTACTCATAGTGGTCCTATGTACAATAGAATGAAACACTGCCCAATCCTGCACCGTCCTCACAATCATTGCTATGCTTGAACCCACTGTTGCAGCCACTGTGTCAATCTATCTGTTGAAGGTCTTCCTCTTTTTTGTTAACCCTCTAACAAGCATGATTTCTTCTCCAGGGATGAGACCCTCCTGAAAACATGTCCAAAGTATATTAGACAAAGTCTCATCATCCTGACTTCTAAGGAACATTCTGGTTATACTTCATCCAAAACAGGTTTGCTTTTTGTTTTGACAGTACATTGTGTGTTCAATATTCTTTGTCAACACCATACTTCAATAGCATCAATTCTTTGGTCTTCCTTATTCGTTGTCCCGATTTTGCATACAGATGAGGCGATTGAAAATACAGTGGCTAAGGTCAGGCACACCTTAGTCCTCAAAGTGTCATCTTTGCTTTTTAACACTTTAAAGAAATGTTTTGCAACAGATTAATTAGCCCAATGCAATATGTCATTTGATTTCCCTTTTTTTAAAAAAATTTTAAATTATTTTATTTTTCTGTTCTGGAAGTATTATCTTTACTTAAAGCCTTATAGTGTATGGACTCTCCACAAACATTTACAGTTTATTCATTATATATTCTTCAAATTATTCCCCATAAAATTTCTTGAACTATATTGATGATTTAAATACTTTAACAAGTATAAAGCAACATGAAAACAAAGAATCTTTGTCTTTCAGGAAAAATATTTTTGTGAAATTATCCAATTTAAACATCTGTGGTATCAATTCTGGGTGAACCAGGATGGTCGCTTCCTGTCTCGTTCAATGATCCTCTTGCTGTGACCCTGTTCAGCTGGTGTCTCTCCCCTATACAAAACCATTGTCTCTACAGTAGGAGCATTAAAAGGATCCCCTTCTGCTTTTCTTGTCTGTCCTCTGATTTCCGCAATCTCTTTGCACACCTTCTCATAGCAAAAGCCACAAAGGACGTGTTTCTGTTTCAGGTGACCACAGTCAGGACAAATGTCTATATTACGCTTGACTTTAATAAGCTTCTGAGGGTTTCCTCTCCTACACTGGTTAACTTCAATACTACGCCTATTTTTGGCAGCTGCCGTCCAAAAGATACTATTCAAAAGGCTGGAAATCTCTTTACTTTCACTAGTATCATTTGCTGGTCCTGCAAATACAGCTGGACCCTGGATTGCTAATGCTGGTTCCCAAGGAGGACTGGGAAAGCCTGGTCAGCTCAGCAGAAGTCTCTGTTGCAGCTGCTCCTAACAGTTTCAGAGAAGTCCCATGGATGCTGACCTCAGCGGAAAGACCAGCACCAGTATGCCCCATGCCATCTTCCTAGCATGAAGTCATTTGATTTCTTGACTGCTGCTTCTATGGGCATTGATTGTGGATCCAAGCAAAATGTAATCCTTAACCACATCAATATTTTCTCCATTCATCATGATGTTGCTTATTGGTCCCTTGTGAGAATTTTTTTTTTTTTTTTACATTGAGGTATAATCTGAACTGAAATTCAGCTTCAACTTGCATTTGCACATGAGCAACTGATAGTGTGTTCCACAGTTGGCCCCTAGCCTTGTTCTGATGATATTGAGCTTTTTTTCCATCATCTCTTTCCACCAAACAACAACAACAAACAAACAAACAAACTGCCATTGAGTCAATTTTCTACTCATAGTGACCCCTCCTTGGGTTTCTGAAGCAGCATCTCTACGCCACTCCTGGGAAGGAAGGTTAAGCAATCTACTTCTGTAGAGTTACTGCCTCAGAAACCCAAGGAGGGGTCACTATGAGTCAGATCCAACTTGATGGCAGTGAGTTTGGTTTATCTCTACGAAGCAGATTGCCCAACCTTCCTTCTGAGGAGTGGCTGGTAAGTTTGAACCGCCAGCCTTCTGGTTAGCAGTCAAATGCCTTAGGCACTACACCACCGAGCTCCCACAGATATAGTCAATTTGATACCTGTATATTCCATCTGGTGAGGTCCATGTGTATAGTCACCATTTATGTTGTTGAAAAAAGGTATTTTCACTCAACAAAATTATTGGTCTTGCAAAATTCTATCATGTGGTCTCTGGCATCATTTCTATCACCAAGATCATATTTTCCAGCTACTGATCTTTCTTCTTTGTTTCCATCTTTCACATTCTAATCACCAGTAATTACCAATGCATCCTGATTGCATGTTTGATCAATTTCAGACTGCAGAAGTTGCTTAAAATCGTTAATTTCTTCATCTTTGACATTAGTGGTTGGTGCATAAATTTGAATAATAGTCATATTAACTGGTCTTCCTTGTAGGCGTATGGATAATATTCTACCACTGACAGCATTGTACTTCAGGATAAACCAAACTCACTGCCACTGAGACAATTCTGACTCATAGTGATCCCCACTGGGTTTCTGAGGCAGTAAATCTTTACAGAAGTAGATTGCCCCATCTTCCTTCTATGGAGTGACTGGTGAGTTTGAACCCCCAACCTTCTGATTAGCAGTCAAATGCCTTAGGTAGTATACCACTAGAGCTCCTTGTACTTCAGGATATATCTTGAAACATTCATTTTGATGATGAATGTGACACCATTCCTTTTCAATATGTCATTCTTGGCATAGTAGACAATATGATTATGTGATTCAAAATGGCCAATACCAGCCCATTTCAACTCACTAACATGTCAGATGTCAATCTTTATGCCTTCCATTTCATTTTTGACAACTTACAATTTTCCTAGATTCTTATTTTGTACATTCCATATTCTGATTATTAATGGATGTTTATAGCTGTTTCTTCTCATTTTGAGTCATGCCACATCAGCAAATGTGGGTCCTGTAAGCTTTACTCCATCCACATCATTAAGGTCGACTCTGCTTTGAGGAGGCAACCCTTCTCCAGGCGAGTGCTTTTCAACCTGAGGGGCTTTTCTTCCACAGCATATCAGAAAATGTTCCAGTACTATTCGTAAGCTTTCCACTGGTCAATTTTTTTCAGGAATACATCCCCAGGTCCATCTTTCTGGTCTGTCTTAGTCTGGAAGCTCCATTGAAACCTGTCCACCATGGGTGACCCTGCTGGTATTTGAAATACTGGTGGCATAGCTTCAAGCATGACCGCAAAATGCAAGACACCACAGTAAGAAAAACTGACAGAAGAGTAGTAGTGGTTAACTGTACTGCATTCTCTTCACTCTTTCCATTCTTAAAGCAGGCTATGGTCTTGATTCATGTCTGTAGAGAGTAACAGCACTCAGTAAAGTTTTGGATATTTTTTCTCTTAATGTTGTTGTTGTTGTTGTTATGTGCCGTTGAGTCAGACCTGACCCATAGCGACCCCTCCTTGGGTTTCCAGGGCAGTATCACTACGGAAGTAGATTGCCCCATCTTCCTTCCGGGGAGTGGCTGGTGGGTTTGAACCGCCGGCCTTCTGGTTAGCAGTCAAGTGCCTTAGCCACTACGCTACCAGAGCTCCCTTCTCTTAATGTATAAATT